TCCATTCCTTCTAAACGCTGAACCCCAAACCCTAAACCCTAAACCTTAACCCCTATATATAACCACTAGAGTATAGTTTCCATGTTCTTTTCCATTCCTTCATACCCTGAACCCCAAACCCTAAACCCTAAACCTTAACCCCTATATAACCCCACTAGAATATAGTTTCCATGTTCTTTTCCATTCCTTCATACCCTAAACCCTAAACGAAAAACCCTAAACCCTAAACGCTAAACCCTAAACCCTAAACGCTAAACGCTAAACCCTAAACCCTAAACCCTAACCAAAGGCAAAAGCCTGGTCTGGGAGTCGGAAACACCCCTGCTGAGGACCCTGAGGCGCTCGCCGCCTCAAATTCTTTGGGAGATTTTAGGGTGGTTATATAGGGGGTTATATAGGTTGTGGGTACATTTGGGAATTTTGGGGTACCTTTGGGGTTATATAAGGGGTTATATAGAGTTTAGGGTTTAGGGCTTAGGATTTTGGGAATTAGAGGGGTTATGAAGGTTCCCAAAATTAGGGGTACCGTTTTGGGGGTCCCAATAACAAGGATTACAATTTGTGGGGGTCCATATTGGAGTCCCCCAATTTTGGGGAACAACCTTATATAGGGTTTAGGGTTTAGGATTTAGGCTCTAAACTCCTGAAAGCGGGGTTGTAATACTCGAAAAAGGAAACGGAAACTCCTTTTGAGGGTTTTGGTGAATAACTGCATATGATACTTATAAATATATGAACATACATATATATATACACATATATATATATAGAGCTTTTAAAAAGTGCATGCATAGAGTATACTTGAGTATACGTGTATATCCCGATGGCGCGCGATTCCATACAACACCTGATTTAACTTGAAAGGCTCTGGGTTCAGACATACACGTGTAGATGCAGACCATTATAATTAGACCCTTCGGAGGCCTAGTCTTTGCGTGCGGCTTTTGATTTCCTTAAGCTTCATGATCTGTCAAGGACCTTCCCAGTTTTGCCCCACTTTGGTTCACTCCCCAACTACCCAAGCATTAGCAAATAAAAACCCTAAACTCCACACCGTAGTTTCCATTGTCAGCCCCAACTGCCCCAACCCCAGGCCTTAAACATTAAACTCCGAACTCTGAACCCCGCTGTCAGAGATGACCTCCAGGGCTCCTCCGCGTTTCTCTTCCGAGGCCCATCCTGTTGATGGACTTGCCTGCAGGTCAAACTGGGAGTTTGAGGATTAAACGGAAATCGTAAAAAAAGCCGCGTAGGGATTTCATGGGTGTATTTTTCAAGAGGCTCTCATCTGGGAAAGCATGGACTACTGCATCAAAGCCTACCTTTTGCAACATCCGAACCTGGCACCCTTGGCAGCGTCCGCCCACACATGCGCAGGCTGCACGGCAACTACCCATACTACGGCTGACATATTGGTAGCTGAATCACAGTTGCAGTGTCCTTGCACTGACTGACCTTAGCGTGAATCTTGCATGAGTCTGTAGCATCCTGCAACTATACTGATGTACTTTCTGTTGCAACACCACTTGGTCCACTTCTTCTGACCGGCTATGCTTGCGAATCTTGTGAAGCACTACAGGCCTCCAAAGCCTTAAGCCGAGCTGCAAGCGGAAGCAAGAAGTGACTAGAGCTGCCAAGCTAGTAATCATAATGGTAAAAACAGTAATACTAATCATTGTAATCAGAATTAACAATCATCGTAATACTAATAATGACTGTAATAATAGTAATAATAGTGGGAATCGGCCTGGAAAACCGACTGCACCTTCAGGGGCAGCATTAGCCTCGCGGACACAAGACTTCCGAGGAGTTCTACTGGTCTCACTATTATTACTATCATTACTGTCATTATTAATATTACCATGAGTTTTTTTTAATTATGATTACAATGATTAGTATTATTGTTTTTGCAATTACTATTACTGTTATTACCATTATTTATGCTAAACCGCACCTCAACAGCAAGGTCCCCAAGCCCAGTGGCAGCAAAATGGTCCTCGGCAGGGATCAACAGGACAACCTACTTATCTTTTGAGGAAAGCCGACATAGTAGCCAGGAAATATGCAAACACAGAGGTCGCTTGCTGCATCAAGCTCTGTGTGGATTTTTTCCAACCAATCATCCATCTGCACGAGACAGCCTTGGCTCGAAACAAAGGCGTCTTTCAAAGCAAATGCCACACGATACTCACAGCGCACCGGTGCATACCCTTGTAAGCACAGCTAAGATCAGCCAAGCATCTCCGCCATCATCGCATCCAGCGGAACTTCGTGCGCATCAAACGCGGGATCGCCTGGACAAAGGTCGCGAATGACGTCCAGCGTCTGCACAACCGAACCTGCATGGAGGGAGCCCTGGATGAGTACACGTTGCAAATACACCACACGTGAAGATGCAAAAGGCGCACAATGAACAATAACAGCACCCGCCACATTTGCACAAGCAACCAGCTAAGGGGAAGGACTGTTCATTGCTTTTCTCTACGGCACCACAAAATTGAAGACCCGCAACCTGTATGAGGTAAGCACGAAGCATGCATCGTTCAACACCAGCTACTCGATCTTGCGCTGCGAACTCAGGAAGAACATGATCAACTGCAGAAATACTTTTGACTCTGGCAGCAGTGCAAGACGGATCGGTGCCGACAATGAAGCCCTCACGCACAGCATAGAACAACGAAATCCTTACCATATGAATGGTTGTCAAAATTATAGTCCCTTTTTGGATCTCTAGTATAATACGGCACCTGATATATAGTGTACCCAAAAAGGGACCATAATGTTGACAACCACCCATATAAACATGAACTAAAGACCTCTAATGCTAAGAATCTCCAACTCGGGACCTGTCCCGGGAAAAATCTTGAAAAGGGACTCCTAAGATAGGTCCCATAAGACCCCATAACATGCGGTAATACCCCATAATACACTACAATACCCCATAATATACTATAATACCCCATAATATACTATAATATACTATAATATATCATAATATACTATGATATACTGTAACCCTAAACCCCTAAACCCTAAACCCTAAACCCCAAACCCTAAACTATAATATACCATCCCATCAAAAGACTGTACAGCCACGACTGCAGCACCTGGCCTCCTCGCAGCAAACCTGGGGCGGGTTTGCACTTTGGGATTTGTGGCCTGGGGTTTATGGTGTTTAAAGGGTTTATAATGTTCATAGGGCTTATAGGGTTTATAGCGTTTATAGGGTTTATAATGTTCATAGGGCTTATAGGGTTTATAGGGTTTATAGGCCATATAGGCTTTATAGCAAGCAGTGGCTAACCCCGCATCTCACATGCATATACTCCACCCTATGGTTTTCAACCCATTCTGAAAGCACACCCGAAATCTACATCATAAATTCTATTCAACCTTTCCAGAAACCCTATCCACCGACCAATTGTTTTGAGTTATTCATTTTTGAGAATAACTTAAACCAATCTAACCTCGTTCT